GTACTAACACACAGAAGTTTGTTTCAAGAAAACAAAGTGGCCTGCAAAGTGGATGCAGATGCCACAGATAACTTAAATGTTCAGAACTTCAGTTTGATCTACTTCAGTACTAAGTTAAATTAAAGGATTAGATAATTTCAATGAGTACTGGTTCAGTATCTTTCAGCTTGGTTAAATGTTTTGATGTAGCTCTTCAAGGATCTTAATTGAACATTAAATTCCGTTTGCATTGTAGTAAATCTTTTAACGAAAGTGATTTTTATTTTGGGAGAATAAATGCTGCAGTCACCAAAAGAAGCCTGTGGACTTTCATTAGCACTGCAGTGCCAGTTTGGGTTTGGGGTGCACGTGACCACTGGGACTTGGTAACCAGAGGAGCCAACTCCACGTCATGGAAAGGGGTGAATGTCAAATTGCAGGGAAGGCCCAGGGAGAGAAGGGAAAATGGGAAGTTTTTTTTTCTTTCCTAAACAAAGATGCTCATCACCTTCAAAGTGTGGATCTGGCACCAGTTGTCTCCTGACCCTTTTCATAACATGTTCTTTTGAATCAGAGCAACAGCTAGAGCAGCATTTTATGCTGTGCTTGGGACAGCCTTGCAAATGCAGCAGGAGGGGCTGGAAGGACACCCAGAGGTTGTGGTTCCTGACGTGCTCAGAGGTGCTCAGAACCAGGGCACTGTCACTGCTGGGGCTCATCAGGGACTGAACTCACTGAGGGTTTCTTGCCTAACACTTGCAATACTTTGTTATTTTCAAGTACATCTGATAAATCTCCCATGAAGTCATCGAGTTCTGAGTCAGAGCCTTGCTCCAAGTGAGCTGTTAGCTCTGTTTTATTTGTGGCATTGTGTCTGTAACGTGACTTGTCACCTTGCGGTGCCACGGAGCCATTTTAGCAGCAGGATGGGAGTGTGAGCATCCAGGAGGAACAGGTACTCCAGGAGTGCAGCTGGGACTCCACTGACCCCTTGGCAGTCAGTGGGGAAGGACATTGACAGTGTGGCAGTAAATGCTGGGTAAATATTCCTGTTCTGTGAGCCAGATTTGTGTCCTTGTTGGTTCCCTGCCGATGCTGTTGGTCCTACACTTCCTTGGTCGCTGTTGTTGTCTTAATTGTGCTTTTTTTTTTAACAGAGGTTGGTCTGACTTTGTAGTTAATTTTGATGTCTGTTGGAAAAGGAGGGTGGGGAGGTGGCTTCCCGACTGCAAATCAGTCTTAAATTAAATTAAAAAAAAAAAAAGCTGTCTTCTGACCATTTAATGTTTGCAATAACTGCAAGAGGTCAGAGCACTTAATACCTATATATTAAGGATACTCTTCATTGTCTAACTTCAGTTGTACAAAGAAGTTCATTCATAATAAAAAGAAGGGCCAGTTAACCCATCCCAAGAATGTCTTTTACATTCTTCAGAAAGCAATTTTATTGTTTCAGTTTAACTATTTGCAAAAAATTTTGTAGCAGATGAGAAGCAGTATGCTCTCAAAATCCTCCAGGATTTACCTTCCCAAACTGGCTTCTGTCTTTACGTGGGATTCCTTTATCAAATCCAGGCTCTCTGGAATACCAATATCAATTTCCCCCTTGTCATTCCGGAGTTGTTTTTGAAAGAATGCTCACTTGTGTGCTCAGCACAGCATTAACAGAACAAAACAAAAACTGGGCATTCTGGTAGTGTCCAGCTGGCAGGGCGGGTAATTGGCCTGTAAACAAGTTGTATTAATCTCTGAGAAATGATTTGCAGCAATAGCAAATTACCTCTGTGCTCAGGATGGGAACAGGCTTCAGTAGAGCTGCAGCACGGAAAAGCAGAGCCTGGGACTGCAGAGGGGATCAGTTCTGGGGCCATTCGTTGCTGTGAACCAAGTATGTTGTCATTTGGAAAATAATTGTGCTGCCTTCTATTTGTCCCCACTTTTCCAGGTTCCGTTTCCAAAGGCCAGGATCCCATCCTTTCTGGGGAGGTCACTGTGGAATCGGGGGGGTATCTTGTGTAGATGAGTTAATTTGGAGTGCACACTGAACAACAGATGAATTTCTCATCTATTTATATCCTCAATTAAATAGCATTTATTTGAAATTTTGTGAAAAGAACCCCAAGTCTAGGGAATGTCACTGGAAAGCCAATATTAAATGTATTCCCAAGGTTCCCTGTGCATCACTGGTAGTGATGTAGTTGCACAGCTTGACAACAGAGGGAAGAATTGCACAGCAGCAACAGCCAGTTGTTTCACATTGCTTTTTAAGTACTTTGGTTTGGGTATTTTTATTTCTCTTGTAATCTTAACTTGAAATTTTTTTTTCCCATCTTGGAAATAGATAAAAATTCGGTATGTTTTTGTCATTAGAATATATATCTGTGCCCCAATAAAAATTTGTTATCCCTGTTAACAGCTTAAAATATATTTTGATTTTTCCTCTAAATCTCTTCACATACAAAATGAGGATTCAGAAGATTTTTTAAATTTTTTTTTTGTTAGGAAAAGTCTTGTGTTTAATATTCATCAGAGAGGAAAGATTATTTAATTAGGGGTATGGTATCTCCTTCAGCCTGCAAGCAGCTCCAACTCCTTAATGAGTTAACTGATGTGTGCTGTGAAATAAATTAAAAAGTAGCCCTTTTCATTAAGCACAGTAATTAAATAGTCAGGCTTTTGTGGTGGCATTCCTCTGTCTAGGTGGCTGGGATCAGTCCTGGCTGTAAAAGCTTGGTTTAGTTATCAAGAATCCCTATTTGTTTTATTCTAAAGTGTTCTGGAAACATGTTCCAAAACATTTTATTTGGGTTCAAAAGTATCCTTTTCCCTGTGAGATGCAAACTGAGATCAGAGCTTTGTTCACCCATCACAGAACACTGCCAGTAAATTGTTTCTTAATTCAAGGAGTACAGGTACTGCCATTTGTGAATCTGGTTATTGTTCAGGGTGGTTCCTTAGATCTGGTATAGCCCTAGTGGGGATTTCTGTAGCTGATTGATACTGAAACCCCCAGCTCCTTATTCTATCCCTAAGGGAATTCCTAGGGAGGGTGGCCTCCTTCCTGGGGTTCCTGCCTGCTCAGTTTTCCAGGGGTTGAGGTCTCTCCAGCAGCACAGCCATGTGGTGGATCAGCCACTTGTCCCAGTTTTGTATCCTCGGTGAACAAGAATGTTTTGTTCTGTCATATAAATTCAGTCCTATTGTGTAATAATAACAATGTGGGATGGAAAGGTGTGTCTCAAAATGCTCACAGTTTTCTCGTTCCTTACCTTGACCCCTCTTGGAGGGGGGGAAGTAGGGATTGATTTGCCTCACGGGGTAAATTGTAGGGGTTCCTACTTTCTAAAGGTATTCTATATTAAGCTCAGTTTTTGTTAGACTGTTGCCTCACAAGTATGTGATATAAAATCCTGCCTTTGATTTAATATTTATCATTAATTAGGGAGGTGACTTGCTCCTTTATTTACAGACGGCATCAGCACAAGCTGCTCGTTAACTTATCATTCCCTTAATATTCCTCATGTCAGTGATAAGCTCATGTTCAGATCACAGATGTATTACGTTGCCTCCATATGGTGCTTTGTCTAATGAATTAATTAACTATTTTGGAAAAAAAACCAAACCCTTGTGAAGATTTTTTCCTCCTGGTGAAAAGTCACCCTACAAACGGTGGAAGGGTTTTTTCATCAGTGTTTGTGTTTGGGCATATTTTTAGTTAAAAATTGTTACCAATCCATTTAATAGTGCAATATCTGTTTCAGATGCTTGCACAGTAAACATTTGCACATGTAAATAGAGTAGGTATGAATGTTTGGGGATTTGGCACTGCAGAGTTGTGGAGTCACAGGAACTTCCATGCTTTTATGTGTCTTGCTTTGGAAGGACAAAAATAGAGTATCTAAAATCAGCCCCAGTATTGCAGTCAGTGTTCACACATGGTGTGTCAGTAGCCTGTGAGTTTTGGCTTGCTCCATATAATTTGGAATAATTTCTCCACAAAGAAACTTTTTACTACTTGCATTATCATTTGACAGCGAAAATGTCTGTTTTTTTTTCTATTTAAAAAAAGGCTTAATCTTAGATAAGGTGTGGATGTTTTGAACTTGAAAGTAACATTAAAGGCGAAAAGTTAATTGCATTAATTTCTGAGGATTATAAATGTACAGTTTGATGCTTTGTGAGGGTGTTTATTGATGAAGTCTCTCAGAGTCTTTACAGCTCTTTGTACCCCCCCACTCCCCCAGTGCCCACCTGGAGCTGCTGTGGGAAGCTCCCGCTCCAGGTTGTGTGTTAGGGGTTGGTCGTGTCACCAGCTCGAATGTGGCACCACACTTAATATTAAATATCAAACTCTAATTAGCCAGTCACACAAAAAGTGCCCGTTTGCATGTAAACAGTGACAGCAAAAGTAACTCGGAGTAGATGCTGGGTACCGTCGTGTTTGACCTCTTGAAAAGTCAGGCTTAAACAGATTAAATGGTTCCTTTTTATGTTTAGAGTATATTAAAAAGAATTGTAGACCTGTACTTGAACTGCCCGAACAGAAGAAATATTTTGGGTAGTGTCTAATGCAAGATAAAAAGGAGGTCAAATAATGTAACTGCAGCTTTGTAACATGTTTAATGTTGTGTATCTGGAGCGTTATTGGCACCAAGGGATCCTTTGTGCGTCCATGGGAAGGGGACAGTGAGAGCAGCAGCGTCACTTCCCTGAGGAAGCTGTTTCTTTAACAGCTCTGTCCCTCTCACCTGAGCTGGAGCAGCCACGGAGCTGTAACGGGATTATGATCATGTGAGGAAAAGGAGACAGGGCTGGAGGAAAGGGAGAGGCAGCGGGGAGAGCACATCCTGCCCGGGCTGTCACTCACGGCCGCCTTAACACCCCCAGCCCCCGGGCAGCCGAGCTGTGCGTTGAGATTTAGGAAAGCAAGATTGTTCTCGGGCACAACTTGCTTGGCACGGGCTGCGGGTGCTGCTGAGCTGCCATGCTGCTGCTTTACACCTTTCTGGTCTCTTCCCTAGAATCCATCTACCGCCGGGGCGCCCGAAGATGGAGGAAGCTGTACCGAGTGAATGGGCATTTGTTCCAAGCCAAGCGCTTTAACAGAGTGAGTACTGGGGGGGCTGCCCGGGCTGGGCATTGTCTGTGCCTGCTGTGCCGGGGGTTGGACAGGGAGGGACAGCCAGACTGGGGCTGTGCTGGGTGTTGGACAGGGAGGGACAGCCAGGCTGGGGCTGTGCTGGGTGTTGGACAGGGAGGGACAGCCAGGCTGGGGCTGTGCTGGGTGTTGGACAGGGAGGGACAGCCCAGACGCCCCTCGGTGTGACGGTTCTCTCCGTGCACTGTTATTCAGGTCACACCGAGCAGGGGAGCTCGGAAGGGTTTCAATCTGGGATGGAGTTCCTGCGGGATTGGTGGAAAATATTTATTTTTAAAGCCTCTCTGAAAGGACTGGGTTTGTGACTGTTCACAGTGGTGCATCCTTGGAGCAGCAGTCCCCTCTCCTCTCCCTGTGTGACTTTGATTGCTGCATAATCTTTTACCTTCAGGACTTTTTGTCATTCTTAAAAATCACAGCTCTTGACCTGAGCTTTAACTGTTTGGAATCTGAGGTGCTGCATCATCTAAGAGTTAAAAATCCGGTTTATTGAGCTAAAATACAGCTGCCTAGGGAGAATCTGGTTTGAGCCACATAAGCAAATGAATGTAACTTTAAGGCTGAGACACCTCCTTCACTTATCCCGTTATGCCTGAGTATTGCAGCATATATACAAATGTGGTATGCACTTTGGGGAATTCCACTAAAAACTGAGGCACTGAGGACAGTTAACTCTTTCATCCAGCAGTAATTTTTTAAAAAATTGAAATTAGCATTTTTTCTTTATGTTCCCCACCTCAAAACTGCACTGAAAGCAAGAAAAGCCCCTTAAAACTCAGTACCTTATCACCAGATAAGTGAAAAATCTGTGTCATATATCTGAATTGTCACATGCATTTGTATAATGTGCTGTGGCAACCCATTTTTTTTAATTTATAGTATGAAAATATACTTCTGTTTGTTTGCTACATAGTTCAGACATATTTCTTTGAAACACTGTGTGAATGCATACCTGCCACATTAATAATGCAGAATGTTATAGATAATGATGGTTTAATTGAAATTAGACCAGTAGTGAATATACACGTGGAGATTTTGATACCTTGTTATGAAGCTCAAGTGTCACAATCCTACCCAGGGCTGCTTTTATACCTGCATACAAATGACATCAGGCAAAGACAAACACCCATTAAGAAAAGGCTGCATTTTGCTGAACTCTGAGGGTGAAGTGTAACCTTCAGTTATTGGGGAAGCCCTGGATGTTCAGAAATGCTCATTATTGCACACCTGCTGGGTGACTAGGAGGGGTTCTTGCTGCTGGGTGAGTCCTGCCCTCCCGAGGGGGGCTGGTGCTGGAGTTGCTGATGGAGCTGCTGCTCTCCCTGTCCTTGCAGAGAGCGTACTGTGGCCAGTGCAGTGAAAGGATATGGGGGCTCGGAAGGCAAGGCTACAAGTGTATCAACTGCAAGCTGTTGGTCCATAAACGTTGTCACATCCTTGTCCCACTGACCTGCAAAAGGCATATGGTGAGTTTGCAGCCTGTACAGAGCTGAGGTGGTTGGGTTCACCCTGGCCTGTGCTGGTAGGTGTGTGTCCTGGGTCATTAAATGCTGTAGATTTATAACCCTTGGCAGGGTTTGGGTTTCAGTCTCTCAGGTGTCTGTGGAGGACGAACCTTTGGATTGAGAGCAGAGACAAAGTGAGGAAAGAAAACTCCCGATGCGACTCGAGTGTGCTCAAGCTTGAATTTGACTTCTCCATGAGACATTTGGTATTTTACAGATAGACAGAGTTGTCACTGACAATCTCAGCAGTTGTTCCTTGTAGCCTGTGGGAATGTTTGAAGAACCAAGGCACTGGTGTGGATTTTGCACTGCTGTTTGCAAAAGGGCTTGGTGCTTTCCTGTTCTTGCCCTCTCAGTTTCTCCAGTACTGTTCTCATGTATTCCAGTGGCAATGCTGGTGTCTTCCCTAGGCTTTAAACAGCTGTATCCCTGAATTTTAGCCCTTTCCCATACTCACCCCCAGTGTTTCACTGGTGGTTGTGTGGTTTTCTAACTGAAGACTTAAACCAGTATTTTTCTTTAGTGGTATTGCCTGTGACCTGCCTTGGCATTACTAATTCTTTGCCAATTAATTTATGCCTGTTGCTGCCCCTCCTGGAATAGTCCCACGTGTCTCATGAATGAGACCAGTGTCCACATGCAATGTAAAACTATCTGGTACTGTGATCTTTACCAATTTATGCAATGCCCTTGCATAATGAGTAACAATTCATGTTTTTATTAAGCAGGAAGGGAACATGCCAGTGCTCTAAATGCAGGCTGTAACATCATGCTCAAGTGTTTACTTTGTTGTGGTTCCATGTGAAGCAGACTCACAAGTCTGAAATAGAAAAAAAGTTTGAATTTGCAGTAAAATAGACCCCTCTTTCTTTTAGAAGACAGCTAAACATCTCTTGCAGTTGCAGAGAATGGCTGATGGAGCACTAAGTGTTTGGCAGGCTGGTTTTATCGTGCATTACAAAATGGTAACATTGAGAGATGTTAAGATTCAGAAACACTTCCTACAAACCCCAGTTTTCATCCAGGAAGGTGCAGGTGGGAGGTTCTCACTGAGCTGTAGCTGAAAGGCAAGACAGGGTCACCTGGCAGGGGCTGCATAACCAGTGTGCTTCTCCTTCCCTGTGTCCCTGTGCTCCCAAGGATTCGGTCATGCCTTCCCAGGAACCTCGGATAGGTGAGAAAAACGAGGAAGTTGATCTCCCTTCAGAAGACACTGATGGAAGTGAGTACTCTGCTGCCCTGGGATCCCTCTTTCCCCATTTGGAGGCCCAGTTTTCACTCTTCCCAGTTACAAGAAGAAAGTGGAAACATTTGGTCAACTGTCCCGTAGTATTTAAAGCAAACTGAGCCTAAGCTACTAAGTCATCTTTCTGTTTATCAGTCTGTAAGATTATTTCTAAGGAAGGCCTTTGTAACAAAACTACTTTGTTTTTTTTTCCAGTTCCCTACATTCCTTCAAACAGGAAACATGACACCATTAAAGATGACTCTGAGGTATGTTTTTAAAACGGCTTTGTAATTCATATTTACATTCTCTTTATCATTCAACTTTTTATAAAATTATTTGTCCTGTTTTTTTCTGCTACCTTTTGAAAAAGTCTGTTTGGTTTTTTTTCTGAATTTTTATTGAATTTTTTCAGATTTCTTCTGTATTTAGCTTTTGTCACCCCACTCATGATCCAAGATACTTTTTTTTTTCCTTCCTCCCTTTCATTTGTGCTGGAATAACAGTGATTTAGCAGCAGGTTTGACTTTATTGGTCCTTGCAACAAATGGTGGCTTTGACATTGCCTTGTGTGCTGGCCCTAATGGATGTGCACCCTTTGTCACCCTCAGGCTATTGGTTCATCTGATAATACATTAACCATCCAGCCCCCTGAGAGGTTTCATATAAATAATACCCAATAATTTGTAGGCAGCTCCTGTGGAAATACAAGTAGAAAAACATACACTTGAACTCATTTTTTTTTTCCAGCTCTTTTATAGAAGGTCTGACAATCTCTGCACATCAAGAATGTCTGAAAAATCCCAGTATGCTTCATTTCTAAAGGGCTTTAAGACATTTCTTTTAAAAGGGTCTGATATGCCCCTCTGAGCAAGGCTGCACCTTTTTCCTTTCCCTCCACTACAATGCCTGTCACTACCACTCCTTTCTCCCTTGAGTAGTTCTGCTCTTGGGTGACTGCTTTATTTTCAGTCATGTGTCTTTAGATTTTATCTCAAATTCAGAGATGGAAGGGTATAAATTAACAACCCATCAGGGTGTTTTAACTGCTGGCTGCTGCCGTGCTCAGTGCTCAGGGTGTGTGCAGATGTTGAGAGGTGCTGTTTGCTCACCTGCCCTCAGTTCTGCTGCTCTCCTTGTCCCACCTGGCTTTGGAGCTGCACTGAAAGATCTCAGGTATCCTACAGAGAGGAATTGGCATTCTGGGAGCCTTGCCTAGAATCTTTAAGCTTAGAGCAATCTCTTCTAATAGCAGTCAATCCTAGATCAAGATCCTTTATATAAATACTTTCCATGGTTCCACAGAATGCTGATCTGTCTCCAAGTACAGTAGTGTGAGGTCAGATAAAAATAGGCCACCAAAGTGTGTCAAAGCCTTGGATAGACGGGTAAAACCAGAGATGTCCTGGGTACCTGCTGCATTTGGCTGGTTCAGCTGCTCCATCTTCAGTCCCACATTTTCATAACTAATTCCAGCAAGCAGTCAAGATGAGGAAATTTATCTTTTTTTAAATAATGAATTTAAAAATAACGTTCCCGAAAGTGTAATGTTTCCTGCAAATTCTCACACTCGAGAAATTGAGGTCTGCTTCTGTATGTTCCCAGGCACCTGTTAGCAATCTTCATTTTCATTAAAACTGTAGAGAACCGAGCACAGAAACTGAAACCAAGGCAGGTATATTCATTAGCAAATCAGTGTTCCCTTATCCATCTTACGTTTGGATAGCCTTTATTCATTTTACTGCAGTACCTGTTGGGATTGAAAGGTGCTCTTCACTTAGAACAAAGGAAAATTCCACATGGCTTGAGGTTCAAGGGTTTGAATCAAACCCCATTTCTCGAGGCATTGCCTTCTGCCTTCCAGGAGGGAATGTGAAAATGCTTCACTGGATGAACTAATGCCCTGAAAAACCAGTAACTGTTAGTAAGAGCAAAACTAACAGAAACCAAACACTTGTAAAAAAAAAAATGTTACAATCAGCATTCAGACCTGTGTCCAGGGCCAAGCAACCTCAGCAGATTCTGCCCCGTGCTGAAAGTTCTCTTTGCTTTAATAGTTACTTGCTATGGAAATGTTTTCTGTTTCCAGCATCTGTTTCTTTTTATGCAGGATATCAAACCAGTCATTGATGGAATGGATGGAATTAAGATTTCTCAGGGGCTTGGACTCCAGGACTTTGATTTAATCCGAGTTATCGGCCGTGGAAGTTACGCCAAAGTTCTGCTGGTTCGGTTAAAAAAGAACGATCAGATCTATGCCATGAAAGTGGTGAAAAAGGAGTTGGTCCATGACGATGAGGTAAAACTCTGGGTTAATTGCATTCTGTTACATGTTATAAAAACTTGGGATGCTTTAACAGAAAACATTCAGCTGAGCAAGCAGCTCGTGGGTCAGACCCTTCTGTCGTTGTTTTTCTGACTTTGGAACTCGTTTGTCATCAGCTTGTCTGCATGAAGCACCAGGAGGAAATCTGAGAGAAATGTCCCTTATTTTAATAACAATTATTAATAGCTTTAGTAGAAATTATGTATTAAATATTCCAACCTGGACATACTGATCTGTAAGTGAAGAGATAAATGGGGAATTTGTGCACTGAATTTTGAAAGAAAACAAAGATGTTTTCCAAGGCAAAAGCATTGTCTGGGTGTCAGAAAAGGAGCTGGAAGTGTGTTCTTACAGGCCTGGTGGTGGAGCTTATGTGCAAGAGGCACAGTACTCTGGGATGTTTTTTCCATGAGTTCAGAAATGATGCTGCTGCCATTTGAGGTCTCTGGCTTTTCTGCTTGCCACAGAAATGCACTGCATTTCTCAATTCTTTTCAAAATCCGGTTAAAATTTTTTTAATACAAGATCTCAAATGCACAAGTTTGGGGGGGGAAAGAAAAATTCAAAAGGGGGAAGAAAAACCCCTCAACAACCCTTGATCTTTTTCCTGTAATAGTCACACTTTTCTGAAAGTAGGATGCTGGGGGAAAAAAGCCCAAACCACTGTTTTAAGTACTATTTGTGTTGGTAGTTGCTCTGGCTGTCATGTTTGCCATTATTCCAGAGGCTGGGATCAGTTCTTCTAAAATCCTCTGGCTTGCTCTTTGTGCTGTTTCCCTTTCTGAACAAAGCTTAGGCTGCTGTGTGGTTCCCTCACCCTTTCCTTTTGCCCCGTGTTTCCAAGAAGGCAGAAGCTGAAATGCTGTTCCCTGGCTTATGCAGCAGCTTCTGAGAACCAGAGGTAGATGAGAAAAGGCTTTCTTGAATAGTGGCTCTCATAATTACACAGAAGATTGAGCTAATTGGCTTTTCTTTTCTCTGAGATAGTCTGCATAATGAAATTCTGGGCGTTGATAGGAAATTCTCTGAATTCTGGGAGCGCATGAGATATTGCAAGTAATGGAAATTTCACCTTGTAAGTGTTTCATGGGGAAAGAAAATCAATTACATAGCAAGGATCAGCGTGTTTAAATTGGCTTGTGCTTTCCAGGGAATGGTTGATAGTGGAGAGAAGTGAGACAGAAGCAAATCAAATACCTGGGCTTCTGCTGTGAAATTTTCCTGTGCTGAATTTGGTTAACAGTGGTGCCCTAGTACAGTACTAATGCATGAGTACACAAGTGCACTGATTAATTAACTAACTGGGGTTAATTTAAAGAGAAGCTCATTCAGTAAACCCAAAAAGAAGTGGACATATTTATTGCCTTATTCAAAGTAGGACGTTTGGCCCTTGTTTGGATCCAGCTTTACCCTTCCAAGGGGTTGTATCTTCCTGAGTGTCTGAACACAAAACCAACAGATTTATTTAGTTTGATAGTAACATTTCTTGGTTTCCTTTGAGACTTCAGTTTCTCTGTCCATCCCTGCCAGGAAGGCCTGATTTCTCACTCTGTATTTGTCTCCACATTGGTTGGAGAGCTGGAAGTATCTGCTGTAAATGGAGGATTTTTAGAATAATTATATTTCTAGTGTACTGGCAGGGTGACACATGATCAGTGCATTGCAGGAGGAGTGAACTTCTACTGCTAAAACTGCCTGGAAGGTTTCAATTGTGTATAGTTACATGGAATAGTGCTTAAATGCTTCGTTATCAGGCATCTGAGTTTGCAGCACATTCAGGCTTTGGTAGGTTTTTATGATGTGGTTTTGCACTGGGTATCCAGGACTTGCCCTGTTGAAGGATTAAAGGTATCTGTGATGCTTTTCATGATTTTGGCTGGACCAACTAAGCAGGTTTTGGTAGTTTCATTGAATTAAATTTGAATTTCAGATGAGAAGCTGAAGTTCAGTTTATGTGAACCTTTTAAAAACTGCAGATTCTCACTGCTTGTGTCACTGGCATGAGTTGCTTCAGCAGCTTTGGGATCAGTTATCTAAGAACTGAATTTATTTCCCTGCAGCACAATGAACAGTGTATCAAATACTGCAGATGTCTGATATTTGTAAGGGCTTCAGTTCTGTGCAGAACTTTCTCAAATGGTTAAGAAACTTCTCCCTGTGTAACTGAGTGCCAATGTTTAATAACTTCCTCCAGGTTTTCAGGGGGTGTTGTCTTTCTGAAGAACGTGTGACAGTGCTGGTGTGTGTGAGGCAGCCCAGATGCTCAGTGTTGTTCTGGGAATACCCCCAGTGGTTATCCAGCAGGAGTTCTGATTGTTCAATTACTCTATTTCAGGATATTGATTGGGTACAGACAGAGAAACATGTGTTTGAACAGGCATCCAGTAACCCATTCCTAGTTGGTTTACACTCATGCTTTCAAACAACGAGTCGGTAAGAAAGATCTGAAAATTCTTTTGTTTTGTACCCCGTGGTCGTTGTGCTGAACTGCTCCTCCCCCAGCAAAGTTCCTGCCATCCCCAGCCAGGGATGTGGGGAGGAAGCAGCAGCTGTGCCAGGGATCCACTGCTCAGCACAGCACAGGGGGGCAGCTCAAGGAGGGCAGGGCTGGGGCAGGGCTGGAGGGAGAGCAGGAACAGGGGGAACAAGAGCTTCCCAAGGAACAGCTCCTGACACTCTGTGAGGAGGGCCAGGGCAGTGCTCAGGAGTCTGCTGGAGAGTTCCCTTGGAATGCATTAATTGTGTTATATACTTTCAGATTGTTTCTTGTCATAGAGTATGTGAATGGGGGAGACCTCATGTTCCATATGCAACGGCAGAGGAAGCTTCCTGAAGAACATGCCAGGTACTTCCTGACCCACACCAAGGGCTTGGCTTGGGGTGGTTGGATCTTTGTATTCTTAACAAAGTGTATTCCATTAAAAGAAAAAAAGAAGGCAAGTTTGATTCTTAAGTTTAGAACGTCCTGCCCTGGGAAAATATGTTAATTTTATTTTTTGAAGCGTTTTTTGAACTAGAGCAAGCAGTTAAGTAGTAGCAGTTATTCCTATTTACTCCTCTTAATTGCTTCACATTTAGGTAATGCCTCTTTGATCTGTTGATAGAAGGTGCAACTATTCTACTTAATTTGGTCTTATGTTGAATTAATGTAGTGTTGGCAGGAGAAGATGAAAAATCCATTTTGCACTGCCCTGTGCTACACAAAGTCTCACTGTCACTCTTTGTAAGCTGAAAACACAGATCTTCCTTCTCACACTTGGAATTTTCAGCAAAAGATAAAAGATAAAGAGCAAATATTTTCTTACTTAGTAGAATAAAAAAATAATTTCTCATATTTAATTTAAGGAATGGTCTTATAAGAGATCAGTGTTCTTATGAATAAACATAGCTTGGTTTTGTTATGCTGTTGAAAGATAAAAGTTGACTGTAAAGTGATGTTCTAAGAACAGACATTTAAATTGCACCAGCTTTTGTACAACCTTGATGCTAATATGGATTTTCTCCTTTTTAATTTCAGGTTTTATGCTGCTGAAATTTGTATAGCTCTAAACTTCCTCCACGAAAGAGGCATCATCTACAGAGATCTAAAACTGGACAATGTTCTCTTGGATGCAGAGGGTCACATCAAATTAACAGACTATGGCATGTGCAAGGTGGGCTTTTCCCTGTGTTTGTCTGTCACTCTGTCCCTCAGCTGCAGATCTCTCTGATGCTGCATCCAGTGATGTTTAGAGAGCACTAAGAAAATGTATCTTTATCTCCACTCTGGTGTTACTGAGCCCAGAACTTGGCTGTGGAATAGGAAGTTTACTCTGAAAAAAAATACTGTTGAGTAGAACCACATTTGGAACTGGATGTAAGAGAAGGGTTTTTCCCCAACATCCATTTGAAAAGGACTTCCACAATGTTCAACTGATTCTTTTTTTAAATGTATCTGTAAATAGTGAGCAAAATGTTGTTACATACGTGTTGTGACTCAGTTTTAATCAGCTGCTTTGCTCAGATAAGCTGTGGAGTCATAACCAGTTTTGATACTATGAGTATTTATTTTGTGCAAGGAGGCTCTTTAGACTCCCTCATAACTTGGCTTTTTAAATCTAATGAAGGGAAATTCCCAGAAAAGGAGATCAGCTTTTAATTTATGAAATGATTTCTGCACGTAGGAAGGTTTGGGCCCTGGTGACACTACAAGCACTTTCTGTGGGACACCAAATTATATTGCACCAGAGATCCTCAGAGGAGAAGAATATGGTAAGTTTTGACTACACAACTTACCATTACTCGAGCTGTGGCTTGTTTCAAATACAACCATTTTTAGATTTCTACATTTCTGTGCTATTATATATTGAGAAAATCAAATGCATATTGTACAGCTTAATTTTTTCCTGAAATAAGGTTTTTTTTTTTCTCTTGCAATCACTCACTTCAGCTTCTTTGTAAATCATACAACACCAGTGTGAACATAGCTTAAATCCCCTGGATTTCACTGCAGCACTGTTGTCTGCAGGCACCTCTGGGTTCCCCCCCAGGTTACCTTTGTAATCCCAGCTCAGCAAACTCGAGCTCCCCCAGTGACAGTGACAGTGTGCGTGGAGTGAAAGCACAGAGTGTCGGGACTGTAAACCCGGCCTTTAATCTTGGTTCTGGGAGCCTTAACACCCACTAATCTTGGTTCCTGGGAGCGTTCCCACCCCCTGGAGAGCTGGCTCAGACTCTGTGTGTGTGTGTGCAGGGCTCAGTGTGTGTGTTTGTGCCCAGGGTTCAGCATGGACTGATGTTTGAGGTGATGGGGTGTGTGTTTGTGCCCAGGGTTCAGCGTGGACTGGTGGGCTCTGGGGTGCTGATGTCTGAGGTGATGGTGTGTTTGTGCCCAGGGTTCAGCGTGGACTGGTGGGCTCTGGGCGTGCTGATGTTCGAGATGATGGCGGGACGGTCCCCGTTCGACATCATCACTGACAATCCCGACATGAACACTGAAGATTACCTCTTCCAAGGTACAGCCCTTTGGGGTCTGAGGGGTTGTTCTGGGAGGAGGGAGGAGGAAAATGGCACTTTGAATGGGGCAGGAGGCTTTCCCATCCCACTGTTATCCCACACTGCTCCATTGGGGAGTTGGGAAGCTGCCCACTCCTTAACAGGCAAAACCTCCTTTACACCAGTTACTGCAGTTCTGTAACACAGTCTGGCCTGATGTTTAACTCATATTAAATTAACTGCTGTTTAAAAACACCCTTTCCTATATACTGAGGACACTGTAAGTTTTATTTCCTGTTTACACACAGTAGCAAAAGATAATGAAGTTAACATGTCTCTTAGGAAATCTTCAAATGTCAGTATAACAGTGCCTTGAATTACTGCGGCTCTTTTTGTTTGCATTGTTTGAAATAATTACTTTACCTTCCCGTTTTCCAACTGGTACCACATTGAAATAATAACAGTGTTTGTATTGAAATCATGGTCAGTGTCACAGACCAAAAAACAATATTGCTGTTTTTTAACCTGTAACAGTTATTCTTGAGAAGCCAATCCGGATTCCAAGGTTTCTTTCTGTCAAGGCTTCCCATGTGTTAAAAGGATTTTTAAACAAGGTAAATAACATTCTCTTATTTTTAGCATCTGAGAGCTGGAAGTCAGAGCTTCCTGTTGAAAGCGATACAGTTAAGAAGTTAATCTGCTTACCATTAAGAAAATCTGTAAAACCTTGGTATCCTCCATGTTAAAAAACCCATTTCTTACTTGCAAATTTACTGAGGGAATTCCACAGCACGGACTTGATTTAAAAGCCTGCACTTAGTTGGGAAAAAGATAACTGTAGGTTTGCTTATAAACTCTTTTCTGTAATACTTATTGCTCATTTAATTAAGCTGCTTGAAATCTGTAGGACTATTATCATTAATGGAGAAAAGGACAGGAATTAAACATTACTGAATAAATCTCTTTTATATTTTGAGAATTTGTAAAGTATCATTTAAAAACTAATTTTCCAAGAAACTTTTATTAAAAAAAAAAAATAAAAAGAATGAGAATCCCTTGCTGGCTGTGATATATTCATCCCAGCAGCAGTTGGCACAGTCATGGGAATGCTGGAGTTGTGCACGTGGGCTCTTGGGAAGGGTGGACTGCAGTGGCTTGCAGGGTGTAACAGGAGTGTGTGTCCCACAGGATCCCAAAGAAAGGCTTGGCTGTCAGCCCCAGACAGGATTTGCTGATATCAAGTCCCACACGTTTTTCCGCAGCATCGACTGGGATCTGGTAAAAACCACTGCTTGTGTTTTGGGCTCTTCCAGGGGAAGAGGTTCTTGCCTTTATTCCCTGTGTGCGTGTGAACAACCCCACTGGCACAGGGGGATTGAATCAAGAAGTGTAGAAGAGGCTCTGCTTTCCCTGGGTGGTGCAGAGCCAAGCTTTCCTTCACCACCACCGTGGAAACAGCTTCATTCCACCACCAAAAATCTGCCTGTGCTTCCCAGCTCTCAGAAGGGTTACAACTTGCAGGGGTAGAATTTCTGAAATACGAGTTTTAGGCAAAACATGAAAGCATTGGTGGAACCATTTATTCCCTGGGTGCTGTTTGCAGGTTCTGCAGACTCATGTCCTGGGTTCTGCTGCTATAAAATGTTCCCCATGTCCTCCTGGGTTCCTGCAGGTGTGGGAACAGGGAAGGACTGCCTGGGTTTGTGCCACAGTTCAGTGCCCCACTGTTGTGGGGGTTCATGTCCCACAGTCCTTGGCAAACATCCCAAGCCCCACTGAAGGAGGAAGGGTGGCCTGGCAAAGCCAGCCCTTTGCAATGCTGTCCCAGCACCTCGTCGCTCCTGGGGATTAGAAACCTCCTCTGCCTTGCCAGGGAGGTTTGTAGGTGATCAACACAACCCCCAGACGGGGTCAGATGCCATGAAACAGGTACAACCCTGGGAGAGTTTGTCATCTGAAGTGTTTGTGATCTGCCTGTAGTACATTAAAATAAAAAGGCTGAGTTTGCCAATTCCATAACTCCTGCAGTCAGTGGGGTTACTCAGGGTTTAGTGACCTGAGCAGGTGTGAGCAGCACCAGCCCCTGTGTTCAGGATGTGGCCTGTGAGCAGTGGGGTTGGTTAGGAAGGGTCTCTCTTGCTCTCAGGTTTTCTCTGGTAGTGCTGGTGTGAGGGAGGTGCTTGGATCCTGGTGGAGCAGATGACTTGCATTTCAGCGGGTTTGCAAGCATAAAATTGTATTGAAATTGTTTTTTTTTTAATCTGCTGCTACTTGGTAATTGTGTTCCTTCTGTCTTCAGCATGGAAAGCATCCCAGAAGTGACATCCTAATGTTTGCTGGCACTTGAGCAATAAAACTGCTCGGTCAGGAGCACTTCCCTGTCAGCATTACATTTTTAATACCTAGCTAACAGATGAAAAGGAGGGATGTAGTATTTCCACAGTCCTGGGGAGCACAGGAAGAGGCAGCAGTGCTGCAAGGACATAAAAGGTTCAGAGGAGAAAAAGCTGCACAGCTTCATCTCCCTTTGAAGCTGCTGCTCTGAACTTGGCTGCAGCTCTGCAGAGAACACACTGACTGCAGGAAGAGCTGAAAACCCCTGGTGTTTGCAGAACTGTTCCTGCAGGGAGGGCTGGCTGTGATTTTGTCAGCCATCCCTTGCTTTGTGTTCCCTCTAAAAGCCCAGTGTGATTTTTTGGTTGGTACCTCATGGTACACCAGGTACTGCAGCTTCTGTTCTGCTTTGCAGGGTTTTGAGGGAAATAGAGAAGACTGTTGCATTTGTATTTCTGTTATTGGCGTAAGAAATTCTTAAATGCAGTTGGTACTTCTTGGTCACCATTTATGCTGATTGAATTTTTATATTTTCTAAGCTGTTTTTCATCTGAAAGCTTTCATATTAAATACCTATTTTTTAAAAAAACTGGGAAGATTGAGGTGATCTGTTTTGTGATATGATTAGGAGAGTGCTGCTCAGGAGGATCGACATGTCAGATAAATTTAAAGCTAAACTTCCAAGTAAGTGTTGGGAAATACATTCAGGAGAAAATTAAAATATTTGGAAAGCTTTGTCAGTTATTAGAATCTTGTACTCACCCCCTCCATTTCAAAGAAAAAAAATTTGACTTAAAAGCTTTTCCAACTTTTTTCAAGTTGAGACAGAAGGAAAGGAGTCTAATGCTGACTAAAAACTCCTTCTGTGGAGCTTGAGCTACATGGAAAAATAAATACAGGGAAAGGGAACACACAGAGCAGGAACATTTTTGCTGGTTTAGTCACCAGAGCTGTGTGTGGAGCTCAGGCTCCTCGCTCTGCTCTCTGTGCTCAGGATGGCTCAGGGCTGCTGAGTGCACTCCTGAGTGCAGCCTCCCAGCTCAGGAGAGAAGTGAAATGGTTGGGTTCTTTGGGGTTTCTGTTTCCCAACGCAGAGCCCGAGCTGGGTTGGGGTGTGTTACCTGGCCTGTTCCTCACGTTCCCTGGGCATTCTGACACTGCTCTCCAGTAGCATTTAATGCAGCTGGGTTTGTTCTTGGGGGATTCTGTGACTGTTCCATACCCTGACTGTTCCTTTCCCATGGCACGTTTGCCAGCTGGAGAAGAAGCAGACGAGCCCTCCGTTCCAGCCGCAGATCACGGACGATTACGGGCTGGACAACTTCGACACGCAGTTCACCAGCGAGCCCGTGCAGCTCACCCCGGACGATGAGTACGTGCTGCTCCCCCCCCGGCTGCACAGCCACCACTTAACACAAACTGTGTGAAATGGCTGCAGAGAGGCTGTGCTTGGCATTGGGGCATAGCTGGGTCACAGTAAATCGCGTTGTCTGTACCCTCCCTATCTTGCATAACTCACGCGCTGTTCCCATGAACTAAACCGCTGCTTCCCTTTGTTTTTCAGAGATATCATAAAGCGAATAGATCAGTCAGAATTTGAAGGATTTGAATATATTAATCCATTGTTGCTGTCAACAGAAGAAACAGTATGAAGGGATGAGCTGGTTGGGGACAGTGTGACTGACATTAATTTATCCTTAACTCCAGTATATGCATGCGAGGCTGGGACTGCTCACTCGGGATGGAGACCAATGATCTAAAAACAAATTTGCTGCTGAGAATCAAAGAAGAGAATAACGGTTTTGGTGGGTGTCCTCTGCCACTTAGTGATTCTTGAGCTCTGGGCACTGACACGACTGGCTTCATTAATGAAGGAATTTGCATTTTGTGCCTGTTTCATGAAGGATTCAAACGTTCATTGCATCCCTGCAAAAGGAGATCATGAGAAACTTTGAGATCCACACACTCTCTACAAACATTCGATGCAATGAGCTCCCAGTTGAAGAGTATTCCAGTGTAACATCCTGAAGAATAAAATATATTACGGTGGTGTTGAAGCTTATTTTTGATGCCTTTTTTCACAAGTGGTACCTGTCTAAAACGTCTCAGATATATTTAAAAGGAGTTGTGTTTTATTAGCAATCAAAACATAAATTTGGGTACAGGATTTAAGTGCCTAAATGGATAAACTGCATTGAAGGATTATTGCATATTTGGAACGTTCTTACACCTGGTAAGTTCTGCTTGTTAATATTAAGTAACCATTTCCATCTGAAACATACAGTTCACAGCTGCAGCCTGGGGTTTAGTTGCATTTTTACAGAATTTGGAATGCAGAGTGACTCCGTGAGATTAATTCCAAATTAGAATTTACAGTATCGGTTTCAAAATCTGTTGTCTTAAAACTCCAAATTTACCAAAATGTAGAGATTGAAGAGAACTAAATTTGCACACAAAGGATTTCTAAACATACTTAAGCAGTGCCTACACCTACAATGATCTTGTGTTGTATATTAGATTTTTGAAAAGTATTTTTATCAACAAAACAAATATTCAGAAGTAGAGCAAAAGCCTAATAAAGCATAGCCTTAAAGTTTAAGTAGTAAATCTAGAATAACCATAAGATAAAATCCATTTTTCCTGATAAAGCACACCTCCTACTTCTATAAACTGTCTGCTTTCCTCAGTGTCCATTAATAACTAACCATTCTGCGTCAGGGAATGGGATGGTTCCAGAAGTGAATTTGCATCAAAGTAGGAAATTCCTTTACTGGAAGAAAAACAAACGCCTAAGAAATTGGAAAAAAGCAAAAGGCAACTCTCCAGTCCCCTCTGGTGGAGAGGGGGGTGTCAGGGCAAAGGTGCAGGACTGAGCTCGGGGAGGCTCCTGGGGAGGGTCCGAGGGGAGCCCCCGGGGCCGGGCTGTCCCTCTGCCCCGGGCTGGCTGGGGGGTCACTCTGGGGGGCTGGAGAGCCAGGAGGAAAAACAGCTCTGGGGGCAGGAAAGGCAAGGAGAAACCCTGAGCCGTGGCATCTCCCTGAGGGGGTGGCAAAGGCAGGACAAATTGGGACACTTTCACTTTCTTTCCATGAACCTCTGGTTTTCTCAGGGTACAGCATTGCATTAGGTGCTGAACATGACATCTTTGGGATTCACATCCAAGTCATGAGGTGCTAGGACCAGACTGCCAAAACATTGTTTGAAGTAATTAATCACTGATTAACAATCTGTTTTGTATCCCCTCATTAGCCACAATTATGCAGACCTGTGGTTGTTGAGTTCTAGGAATCCCATTCAGGTTTCAGTTGTGGGTTTCTCTGTTGGACTGTAGCTTTTCATATTAAGCAAGATGTGTTTTAATCAGCACTAAATAATTTAACTAGTAAGAAAGATTTGCCTCAAATGCCTGGACTTTAGATACTTTATTATCTACTAAAGGCAACATTACCTTTTAAATGTAATCTGACATTTTTTTTAATTACTCCCTTTTCCCCTTCTCCCTCTTTTATTTTATTTACCCTGAATAACTTTTCTTTCAGTGTTTTCAACTCCCCTGGTACTAAAGGTGATCAGGAGTGATCAGAGTGACTGCAGGCAGCTCATGAGTGCAAATGGGGCAGGTTAAGCTGTCCTTTGACATGCCAGGGCATGGAACTTGAAACTGGAAATCTTAAGAAATGTGGGTTGGGGTTTTTTTTAACCTTTTTTTCTAGGTTTCAGAACATTTTGGGAGGGAGGGAAGGAAGAACAGGAAGACACATTTTGCTAAACAAACATTGTAAAGACTACTTGATTTTTATTTAAGAATTTACAGGCATTTACAATGTTGCTGTGTTGCCAAATAGTTTGCTGGGTACAAGTTTGGTTGCTCATGTGCAAGTGTTTGAATAATGTTCTGTTCATGATGAAGGGGAAATTTTTTATATAAAGTACTTGTTTTATAAATAAAAGAAAATGAAGGATGTAATTAAATGTGTGGTTTGGAAAAAAAAATCCTAATATATTACAAATGGATCTGGTAATGATATATAGTTGTCTTATTTGAAATAGTAAATGAAATTCTAGCTAATTTAATGATTGTAAAACAGTAAATATGTTCTTGTAGTTTTGTATAATTAATTAGTTGGGATCTTTGCTGACCAGTTTTAATTGTGCAGAAGATGGTATACTAATCCATAACAGCTGAGATCATTTATATTCTTGCACATCTATTAAAGACTTTAATGAAAAAGTGAACAGACTGTTATTATTTATCAGTAAACTGGGCTGTGTCCAACGTCTGAAGGAGCCCCCCCTGTGAATGGAATCCAGGAGCCTCCCTGTGTGTTTGTCCTGGATCCTGTGTCCTGTACCTGGATCCCAGCTGGGCTGTGGGTTCTGAGCCCGGGGCAGTGAACTGGGGCAGGGGGTTGGGCCTGGACTCTCACCAGCCCTCAGGGCAGGGGTGCCTTTCCCAGCCTTGCAGAGCATTTCCCTGCTCCTGGGCAGTCCCAGAACAGCAGCTGAGCCCCCTCCAGCCCCCCAGGCTGGGGGTGTCCCCGTCCCACCCCTCGGTGTCTGGGGCTGTGTGGGACTGACACAAACCAGCTCTTGGCTCTGGGGCTGCCTGAACCTCCCTGTGCAGTGCAGGAGACTGGCACAAGAGTTCTCTCTGCAGCTTAATTAGAGCAGTCACGTTAATCACTTGATTAACACCGATACTGACTTAGAAACCTACCCAGGAAGGGTGTGAGTTCAGCTGGGCTCCTTCAGAGACATGGAACCCCCACCCCTTTCTGTGGTTTGGGGGGTGTTTAACAGGGACACACTCACAGAATCAACAGTACAATTACACTTTCTTAGTAAAATAATGAAAAATTCTAAGCTCAAATGACTTTTTAATTAAATTGATTTTCACAGATTACTGGCATTTTTTTCTAAGCAGGTAAACTTTTGGATGAGGGTAACAGTTGTCTCTTGTGCAGCTGGTTTCTTCTGGACTGAGAGCTTCCGAGCTCTGGTGCATCGGCCCAAGCAGGGGCTCCAGGGATTTCCAGCAGGACACTTTTTCAGGAGCACCAAGCCTGATTTCCCTGGGGGTCTCCCCAGAGCACCATTTTCAGAACTAGAACTACTTTGCGGGCATCTGAGAGGATTTAAAATAAAAAGACCCTCGACACTTGACCTTCTACTGAGTTACTGGTTTGTGATCCGAAAGTGTGAGATGAGGATGAGCTTCCTTGACACATTTTTCCTTTTCCTTTGAGAAAGGTTCATCCTTGGCCTTGTTCCTTTGCTCTCTGTTCTCCTGGACTTACCACATGACATCATCTGCACTTTCAGACAAGCACCTGGCCAGGTGCCCATCGATGTCCAGCTGGGAGAGCCTGCAAAGACAGGGGTCGGGCAGTGAGAAACAGTCACAGCCCTTCATTGACACTTCTTTCCCCTCCCTCTCACACGTGTCCTTAGTGGGGGGTCACTGCTGTGATCCCTGAGAAACTGCCCTTGCTGGTACCTGCTGCTGAGGGTTTTAAGGGTTAGAGGACCTGCCCAAAAGCACTTTTTTGGCAACTCTGCCAGCCTAAGCACTGTGCCATGGTGCTGACTGCAGGAGACAGCACAGTTCCTGCTGCAGAGCAGGTACTCAACATGTGAACTGGACTACAGCAGGTAATTCTGACAGATAAGAACTTTGCAGCAGAAGTTTTGTCTATTTTCATTATTTTGTAAATAGGGAATGCATCCAGAACCGGGTGGGGGTTTGTTTACTGGGAAGTTATAAAAACACCCACAAAACAGAAAACCCCAGACAACTTACGTTCCACTGAACTGCATCAGGCACATGGGACAACTGTCAAGAGCTGAAGATCCTCCACTCTGGTTTTCCAGCTTCTCCTCGCAGCTCCCGGCCCCAGGAACGCTCCCAGGAGGCTCCTCCACAGGCACAGCTCTGTCCTGCCCCGCTGGAACCTTCCCCTCCTGTGGCTGGAGCTCCTTCCCACCCTTCTCTCTCCTGCCTCCCCTGCTCTGTGCAGCCCCTGTGTGGTGCTGCCGAGGGCTGGAAGCTCTCCCAGAGCCCTGTGCCAAGGGCTGTGCAGAGCTCCTGTGTCCAGGGAGCTGACGTGGCTCGGGACTCGCTCCCAGCTCGGAACTGCCTTTTGTGCCTCCCCCAGCTGCAGGTTTGCCTCGATCTGTGCTGGTTCCCCTGCAGGTTTCCTCAGCTGTGGGTGACAAACTGGGAAGTTTATCTGCTTGGCCCCATCCTGTATGTGACTCGTTGCTCTGGGAGCTGAAATCCTTGGGGTTCAGACATTGTTCTGTGTGAAAAGGTGGGAATGGTACCCACGGAAAGTCTCTCATTCCAGCTGTGAAGACCTCCTGGTGTGCTGGACTCTCCTCCTCAGCACCCTGCAGCACACACACCGTGTCTCAAACAAATGCAGCTCAATCAATACATAAAGTGAACACACTGCAAATACTGAGATGGCTGAGCTACAGTGAAGAAAAGAACATTTTATTTACATCCCTCTCCAGCACCTTGTAAAGCAATCAAGAGCTTCCTGGAGCTGATGGAATATGTGTCTTCCCTTAGCATTTCTAAATGGATACAGTGGGGACTCAGTATGTTTCAGAGACACTAAAGATAAAAACAACCACCTCAGAAACAAAAAGTACTTTATAAGGGCTGATTTCTGCGTTGTGACCTTGCCCAACGCTACGGGGCAATGTCAGAGTGGTTGCTGTGTCATTAACCCTCTGTTACAGGTTGCCTTTCCCACTTCCATTCCTCAGGAGGATCCTGGTGCTCGTGGCAGTCACCACCCTCACACAGGCCCCTTCCTCTTTCCAGCAAAATGTTGGAAAGGATTTGCCACGCTGTGCCACATCATCACACGTGAGATTAAAGAGCTGAAACCTCACAGCTCTGAAGGCTCCTTCAGGTGGTTTCCTCATCATCCAGGGCTGCCACTGCTGGACACAGGACACAAAGTGCAAAAACCAAGGATACAGCACACGCTACCTTTTCCAAGAACTCCGGAAGGCTGGGCACTGTGTCCCACTTTGTGCAGTGCAGATCCTGACTGATGTCTTTCAGTAACAAAACCCAGGTTTTTTCACGCTCATTTAAGTCTTCCTTTTCAAACCAGGGACATCTGTCAGTTGAGGTCCTGGAAAGACAGGCATAGTAGTTTGAGGGTGGGAGAGAGGGAAGAAAATGCTCTGCACTGGTATTAGTTTGCCTCTTTTTTTCTGGAACACAAAGACATTATTTAACCTGTAAACTAATTTTCACAGCTTCCTAAGACTTATATAACTTGTGCTGCAATAAAAAAAAATCCAATTTTTTAAAAAATGACTGTCTAAACACCCTCTTTTCTCCTTGTAACAAATGAGCTGTGGATATTTATTACTGCCTTCACTTCCAAGTGAAACAGTGAAGTGTAGATACTGGTTTTTTTTCTCAAATACTGAACTTGACACCTGCTGAGCACAGAAATCATGGAAATGTTTGCACTGAGGGTGGCAATTGCATTGGTTCTTGCATATTCCTGGCCATTCCCATACTGCCATTTGAAATTCTCTTTCCAAACGACTTGACTTAATGGATCTTAGGAAGGCTTTAGAAAGTTTAACTACAAGCATTAAAAAGGTTTTATACGAGTAATGCCATAGAAAGACAATTCCAAAAGAAGGATGGATTGTTAACGCCACAATGCTATTTCCAGCCTTCCCACTTCTTCCTGATGTGTTTTCTTGGATCAGTGTCCAGGAATGAAGCTGCACTGGGAAGAAATTAGAAGAAATTAGAAAGTACAAGCCCTCAAAGAGCAGAGTGATGGAACTCCCACAGCCTCTGTGGAGGGGACACGGCTTCAAACAAGAGCCCAACCCCTCACTGCCCTCAGTCTTCAGGCCCGGGGCCCGCTGTGCTTTATGCTGCAGTTTTGTGTCTATTTTTTAAAGGCGCTACAGGGGGTGTTTTATGAAATAACCTTTAACACAGTCAGTAATGAGACCCTGATCCGAGCGGTGCGGCTGTGCAGGCCCGGCCCGGCCCGGGCGAGGCGCTCCAGGCCCCGGAGCCGATCTGCTCCCGTCCGACCCCCCCCGGGCCGATCCCATCCGATCCCCGCGGTGTTTGCTGACCCGACCCGGCCCGATCCCATCCGATCCCCGCAGTGTTTGCTGACCCGGCCCGGCCCGATCCCCCCCGGCCCCGACTCACGGCCGGCGCGGGGGTGTCTCGGGGCCGCGGGCGGGCGGCGCCGCGCGGGGCTTCAGGCGCAGCTTGGCCGCTCCTTCCTCCCCCATGGCCGGGGCTCCCCGCGCCTCGCCGGGGGACGGCGCTGCGGGCGGCGAGCTCTCTCCCTCCCTCCTCCTGGCCCGCTGCCACGGCCGCGGCTCTCCGCCCTCAGAGCCGCCCTGACGGCGCGGGGCGGGGGTGGCTCTGAGAGCGCCCTGAGGGGAGCGCGCCCTGAGGGGAGCGCGCCCGCCCGCCCGCTCGCCCGCCCGCAGTCCTCGCCCCCTCGCCCCCTCGCCCCCTCGCCGCGGAGCTGGGGGCTGCTCTGCCTCGGAAACAGCCCTTTTTGTGTTGGTTTTGCCCCTCGCACTGCCTGTATGTGCAGCGGGTTGGTGCGCTCGGGAGTGCGGGCTCGGGGCGCTGCAGCCCCGGGCGCTGAGGGCACAAGATGGCGGCGGGGTCAGCGCTGGCCGCCATGGCCCCGCCGAGCCGCGGCCTGGGCCCGCTGCCGCCGCTGTTCACACAAATAATAAAGATTGGCAGCCACCGCTGGTCCAACTTATCTTTCAGGAAAGAATCTGAAGTGATGCAGTTTGACGTTGCTGGCGGGAATGTCGCTGGGTGACTCGAAATAAAGAGCGTTTTAGGAGTGGGTTTAAACGCTCCTCTGGCCTTCTCAAACACACGTCAGAGAAATGGTGACACACACTTCATCCTCCAACAGTAGATGAAGGGATCACAAAGTGACTCTGCTGTTTAAATTCCTCGCAGTCGATATGAGAATAATTGTACAAGGTAGTAAAAAGTCCTGTTTGATAACAGGTGTTTATGAGGGAGAGTGGGATACAAAGCGCTCCTCTTTTCCATAAAACCAGTTTATTATTGGTAAAAAAAAAATGAATCCCAGTTCACATTCCTTTTCTGCAACTGAATTTGTGGACCGCTGGGTGTCTGTGGACTGTTTCATCCTTGAATTCTTCAGAGCGAACAGGAGGCATCACTATTGACTGTACTAAAGCCACACCTGTGAATTCCCGTGTTGATCACACGGCCCAGTGAAAAGTTATTCCTTTAACAGCTGACCTGACCTGAAACATGCCTTGAACAGGTCTGAACCTTGACAGTGGCGTTTTGGGAGTCAGAGTTTGAGATTCACATTTCACCTGGACCGGTGGATTCAGCCTGAGCAGTGACAGCTCCAGCCAGACATTGGAAGCCACATCCAGTGGTTTTCCAGCTGCAGATGATCCCGTCAGTGCAGCCCGAGATCTGGGAGGCTCAGCCCAGCTTTCACCTTTCCCGTGTTAACTCAGGTACTTCGTGTTTCTGTGAGTCCATCACAACTTTGACTCTATGTAATAACTAATTTCTTAACATTATAGGAGCATTAATGGGTTTCCTTTTTGTGTAAGAGCAAGGATAAAGACGTTGGAAGTGGGAAGTGTTTGGTTACTGCTGGGATTTGTGTCAGTTTGTAGAATAGACAGCCCAGCTGAAAAATAAAAATAATAACAAATAGTCACAGTAGTGTGCCAGCATTTCGGCTGTGTGATGGGTAGACTAAAATGAGAATAAAAATGGGAAAGAAATGACAGTGGAAAAGCCAGTCGCTGTCACAGAGACTGACATTTTCCCACTTTAATATCTGTTACAGCTCCTGCAGCGCCAAGGGAACACCAGGACAGTCACAGAGTTCTGCCTGTCATTTTTGTCGCCATTTAGAAGCTGCTTCCCAGTGTGTGAAATGAGATTCCAGGAAATATGTCCTCCTCTCCTTATTTGTCGGGAAAGGCGTTCTCCCAAAAGCTGCAGGTGGCACAAGGTAAGCTGAACAGGGGCGAGTTTGGATCTGAGGGTGTTAGGCCTGCTGTGGAGAGGAGGGTGATGGCAGCAGAGATGGAGCAAAGAACGGCAAGAGGAAGTGTGTGTAAATAAAGCAAAAGTGGAGACTGGAGAGGGGATCAGCCATGGGAGTGGTGGGAAAGGAGATGACAGAGGAGGGGTAGAAATTTGATTTCACAACTAGTTGAAGAAGTGTTCCTTGGGGGTTTTTGCTCAAGATCGCTGTGAATCGTGGCCCAGCGCTGACTGTGGCCACGTGGAGGCAGCAAACTATGCAGAAATGGGGATTTAACGAAATCCGAGGGCGGTGAAAGTGCTTGAATGGAGCCTCCAAACACACTTGTAGGTGTACCCGTGTTAATGACTGGTTGTGCCACAGGGCTGCTTTTATTCCTGTGATGTTTGGGTCGGTGTTTTATCTTATGACCCCTGGGATACCACTGTGACAATGCTCTGCTCCTAAACCACGTGTTGCATCCACAGGTTGATGTTGTTGGGTATGACTTCTCCCATGCCTCAGGAGTGCAGCCTGTTCTTCAGGCTGGAGGGGTTGCTGTGTGGTGCTGCAGCCGTGCTCTGTAGCATTTCCAAAAGCTGTATTAGGGGTGAACGTAAAAGTTGGTTATTGTGCAGTAAGGGCCACAAATGAAAGAATATAATAAAAAGAATAGTGAAAATTATTACTGCAGCTTCTGGTTGTAAAAAGCTGCTTCTGTAGCAGCTGTACTTTGTAGGTGTGTTCGTATTTTGCAGGTTTAACTGAAAATTGTTAGATTTTTTTGTTATCTGTTTAATGCATACCCATTCTAACCTGTGAGGACAGGCATGTCATGAATGTTCTCATTCTTGCTCTACCTGTGGATTTCCAACTAGCATTCTAGAAATCTTTGACTGTTAAGGGTACTCAGTATTTTTCATCTGCATCATTCCAGAATTACTGATGTACTAAGAATATGAAGGTGAAGTGTAGACTGGGACCTGTTCTTGGTTTTGCCACTTTGCACAAGGTTGTATCTACTGTTTCTTCCACTGCATGGGAATTCTGTTACTTCTTGCTTGACCTTGGGTCTTGTGTAATTTAATAATTAGAATGTTTTAGGAAAAAAGTTCTCCTAGGAATGCAGAGAGTAGTCTTTACCATAATCAGCCTTGGCTGGATTTGAGCCAGTGGTCAAGAGATTTGAGCCTGTGGAAGCCAGAATGCTCCTACAGATTATCTGCAGGGATTTCCTTGTAAATGGAGTGCCAGCATGTGGAGTTATCTCTTCCCCGTTGAGTCTCATCAAGCTGCACACGCTTAATCTTTACTTACATGGTTCCTGGTTCTCGCTCTAAAGTGGGCCTCAGTTTTAACTTTTGCTCTCAGGAAGAAGGGGCTATTATAACAAATTCTAATCCTTTTGCAACTCCACAATCACTAAAGCCTATAAATTGCCTGCCAAACCAACCAAGTGATCTTTTCCTGGGCCGAGGGAAAGCGGAGAGTGTAAAACGCAGGTGCCAGCATTTGCTGGGGAAGAACTGGTACATTATCAACTAATCCGCCTTCTGCTATTTCTGATTTCCTCCCCAACAGCTGCAGCATTGAATGAGAGCTTCTGCATTTGGGAAGAATTAGAAAGCCTGGTAATGCAGGGTCTCTATTACAGATACAGCAGCTCACAGACAGGGAGGAGATTTTTGCTGCCAGTGTAGAATTTGGAGTGCTTGGCATTTTATAGCCTGGAAAAATTGTAATTTTCAGCTGTTGTTATGGAGTAATCAATGAAGAAGAGATACCATAGTTTCTACTGGGTTTCTCTCAGAGCCTGATGTCACTGCATGCAGGAGCTATTATTTTTTTTAATGTACCACTCTGAGGCTGAAGCACATGGAGTTTTTATTAAAACTTTTTTTTTTGGTGGTGACTGATGTTCACAGATAGCTTTAGTCCTTCTGCAGTATCTTTGGGTCTGTACTGATAGCTCCTGGGTCCGATAAAGATGTTTGGGATAAATTGTGCCTTACTAGAAAATTGAAACGTTATTATGTTTTAATTATTTTATCTAATCAGTGCTTGGGGTAGGAGTACATGTGGATCATTTTTTGTCCTTGTCAAGCAGTCTGTGACTTCACTCAAGGGTGAGCGTGTCCATTCTGTTAAATGTGATAAAGGACAGTGTCCCCAGAGATCACAGCCCACAGAGCAGAGCAGCAGGAGAGCTGCTGCAGCAAATGGACTTTATGGTGTGTGTCCTGACAGCCCAGTGCCAGCAAATGCAGCCCTGGGAAGAATCACTTAGTCCAGTGCTAATCACTGTCTGCACTGCAATGGGAAAGGCTGCCCCTCCTCATTAATATGATGTATTACAATTCCAGCCACAGAATGAGGAAAACTGTGTAAGGCTTCCTCTGGCACAGTCAGGAGAAGGAGGATGACGTGCAGCTTCAGTTGGAGAAGTGCAGGCTCATTGCTGTTTCCAGAGCAAGTCACTTGAGTGGAGACAGTTCCGTAGGCTCTCCCTAATTTTAGTTGTAGGAGACATTCTCTTTTCCATGAGGAGTCACTTCCTTCGAAACCTGCTCCCTCTGGGAGCTCACCAGAGCTGCATTTGTCAACGTGCAGCGTCCAGCGCACGACTCATCCCTTCAGCTCAGCCTGCCCTTGCCACGTGTGAGGACACAGCAGTACCTCTGTGGCTGGAGATGGAAAACCCAGCCTTGTGACATTTATATGCCAAGATGGGAAGGCCTAAAAAGAGGACTAGGGAGACTAGCATGGCATTTGCGGGTACCAGGTTGCCAAGGAGGCATATTGTATTGAAACAGTTGCCTGGGAAACATTTAAAAATACATTGAATGGAAAAGCATATGTGATGTGCCCACAAGTGTTCTGTGTGAATGAAATGCCATGGCTGATGATGGCACCAAGAGACTGTTACTATTACATGTAAAAATGCTGCAAGTGATGTGTGTTTTTTTCCTCCTGTGGTTTTTTCCCCTGCCCTGTTTGCAGGAGGTGCACCGAGGGAAGGTTGTTTTGCTCTTGGCTGATGGATTAAAGTGGCTGTGGGGAAGGTGGAACGTGCAGGCAGCAGCAGCAGCTGGGGATGGTGAGAGCAATTTGGCTTCATTTAGGCAACCTAAACCAATTGACAAGGAGCCTGCACAATTCCCCCTCAAAAGTAATAACAGCACTGCTCAAACTCCTACAGTATAAAGAGAAATGGTTCTCTGAGCATTACCCTTTAATGGCTGCTAAAATGGGATTTGGAGGCTCTGACGTCATTGCAAGAGGATTTATATGTAAACATCATGTAAAATGCGGTTTATGATCAAAGCAGGTTGGCAGCTTATATGAAAAAGTTTCTCACTGGCCTAAGTTTTTGTTTGGGGCACTGAAATAGA